AGCACGGTGTTTATATATTACCTCGTTTGATGCATTCAGGCTGCCGAGTCGGTACATCTCACCGTGTTTTGCAAAGCGTGGACTGGAAAGTTCCATGGCTGGCGTTTATTCGGCACAGAGAGAGGCTAACTGATATAGGGGCTCTCTCATGATTTCTAGCCAAGATATTCCGGAGTCCAAGAGACAGGAGGCTGCCACAGAGACAGAAGAGGAGAAGAGTTGCGAGGAAAAGAGACTTGAGAGGGCCAGGTGGTAAAAGGCTGATGATTGGAGTCCAAGTTCTAGGGTTTAATGACACATGGCTGATCAAGAGTGCTGACCAGGAGAATGGCTTTATTCCCTAACCAAGAAAATAATGATCCCCAAATCGCTTAGGCAGGTCGAAATAGGAAGGAATGTCTGAGCACTTAAGCCCAGCCAGCATGCACGACACTACACTAGTCTCAGAGAAACTGCAGAGACTCAACACATGGCTACCTGGGTTAGCCGGTGGTTTGATACTTTTGGTAATTACCACCTGGTGATAGATCATAACAAAAGTAAGGAGGGAAACAAGGAAGGCAATGCGTACTTCAGAGGGACATTAAGGATAAGAGAAAATGGAATCAATTGTTTGTTCTTTGATGGGAGAAGGGATGACACTAAAGTGTTCATAAAGAAAGTTGGAGATTCTGACAAGTTGTTCCCTGCCATGGTAGGAAGGGAGGAACGCCGCTCCTGCAAGTGAACCCAGGAGGGAGGCAATTTGTGGCATTCACTCCAGAGAAAGATGACATCAAGGAAACCAGCTGAGATAGTGGCGGAATAACATTGTGAGCTGGCTCCAGAGGAGCGTAGACCAGACCCTGCAGGCCATTGGAGGGGACAGCACCAACTTCTGAACACAGGGTGCTTAAAGGGGGTCATACAGTGGATAGGCGGGAAGGGTGGGAGGAAGCTGGTCTGGATTGTTTGTGACCTCCACACCAGGGGATTTATACTCAGACATCTGATCCAGGAGGCTGGATGGCAAGACTCTTTCAAACAACAGATGGTCTGGTCCTCTTGGCAAGATGCTGGACTCTGCCACTGAGTTAGAAATAAATCCGAGCTTTAGAAAAAATCACAGTTGGCCCTCCCACTCAGTGAGCTTGCACATGCATCGTGCAGCTGACCTGAGTACTGACCAGTACTATGGTTACATGATTTGCAGTGCCATCAAAACTGGGGTCATGCAGTGGACTTACTTACCTGCAGATGGGTCCGGTCTCACATTCTAGGTGGCTCTAGCGGCTCTCGGTTCTGCAGAATTTGGGTGCAAACTCATCATGAAGCTGAGAAGGAACCAGCTTCACAACCTGAGACTTATTGTCCCAATTCATGCATTGGTGTCTACTTGCCAAATTGGGTCAACACCAAGGTCAAGTCATCGTTGTTCCTCGAAGGTCGAGGCATGTTCTCTTCCAGCTTGAGCTCCTGAGGAGTCAGCAAGGAAGGTTGTTCAGATTGTGGAGCAGACTGTGAGGAGATCTTCCTGGTATGCTCATCGAGGCAGTTCTGCAGGCGATGCTCTGCAGTAAGGATGAGGAGGAGAGAGTGGCGATCAAAAGATCGCGATTATAGGACTTATATAGAGAGGATCTGGGCACTTAATGGAGAATCAGTTGGTGGCATTCCTTCAGGGGTCAAGGGAGGCCTGAAGTCAATCTAGGTGCCAAGACCCTCACTGATCATAGATCTGGATAACATCAGGCTGGCAGTAGACCCCCCTCTTACCTGCAGCCCTCACCAATGTTCAAGTCAGGAAAACCACTGGACGGCCAGTGCATGTACGCTGCTTTAGGTATAGAGCGTTGTGTACAGCAAGTGAGCGAGGCCAGCAGTCACGTGTACAACCAGGAGAGGAGGGAAGGCTACATCCGAGCTCAGGTGGTCAGCAGGGAGGTGATGAGTAGAAACAGAAGCAAGAAAGACATGTTCTCTATGGTGTGCAGCAACACCGGGTCGTAGTAGTAAAACCGGTTTTGTATTTGATGATTTTGTTTTCTAAAGGAATATTAAATTTAATAAATGTGTCAAGATCATTCGTTTCACTATTCTGGATCATTTTCATCCTAATAAATTAACCTGATACATTTACTTTACTTTAAATAAGCTATTTAGTGGTGTTGGTAAAAGGGTGGGAATACTGAATTTTCATAAGATTTCAAGTTAAAATTTACCTAGCAAAAAATGAAAACTTTTCAAATCTGAAGATATCAAATGATTCTGCACATAGAACTACATCATTAATACCATGGGCCGATTTTTCAAACTCAAAAAAAAAAATTCGCCTCCGATTGACACACCCTAATGTGCACAATATGGAATTAAACAAACTTTTGTGACAGCTTATCATCCACAGGCTAATGGCCTTGTTGAAAGAACCAATCGTAAAATCCTAGAAATACTGCGTCCAATTGTTAGTGGTTTTCAATACGCATGGGAGGATTGGTTACCGCAGGTTGCAGCCTCTATTAATGGGTCAGTTAATAGCTCTACGGGCAAAACACCCTACTACATTGTCTATGGTACAGATAAACGTCTGCCTTACGACATGCTTACAGATGCGCCATACCCGGTATATAATACGGATGATTTTGGGGCAAAACAAATTCATGTCTTTACAGAAATTCATAACCAAGTACGATCACAGCTAGCGGCGTCACGCGCCAAAATGATCATCAAACAACATAAACATGCTAAACCTATCGCACTGAACGTTGGGGACGCTGTTATGTTAAAGGAACCTGAAAGGAACTCCAAACTTTCGGCAAAATTTTCTGGTCCATTCCGCATAATCTCAAAAGAAGCAGGCAACAAATTCAATATATGGAAGCCTAATGCACAGATTGCAGATGTCGTGCACGCGGATCGTCTGAAGAAGACCCAGATAAATGTACCTCCAGTTGATGATGACGTGACTGATACATCCTTACAGACTGTTCAGAAGCAAAATGTCCCAAATGACTATTGTATGAAACTACGTTCTGCGAGTAGAAGTTAACTCGTACTTTCGCGTCAGTTGGAAAACGTCGACGGCCAACTACAATCAGCATTGGACATTCTTCATGGTCTCAGCACAGCTTCGATGAATTCGACAATAGTTTCACGAACGTTGTCGTTCAGGCTGTATCTCAACAGAATCGTGTTATTTCTCAAACCTTTCATGCGATTACTGCTCTAGAATCAAAGGTTAATGCAATCATAATGGAGTCTAACCAAGTTTCGAGGATTGTTACTAGGTTACAGAAAGCAATCCCGACGTTAGAATGGCTCCTTTACTTCACAGAATATTTGCATGCTGCTGAAATTTCAGTTCATAAAATTGTAACCTCTAAAAATGAACTAATAGACAGCATTGTAGATGCCGGGATAGGACGTGTGGACGCGAAGCTTGTGCCTGTGCAGACGCTTCTTGAAGCTTTAAAAATAGCCAAGTTGCAGTATCATTTAACTCCTATTTTCAATGACAATGAGGTTCACTATTATTACCCGCTGTTGGAGTCAACCCTCACGCACAATGCAATTCTGATACACATTTCTATGCGAGGGCAACATGAGTTTAAGGCATGGCATTTAGAACCCTTCCCCTGGTCTGTGAACGACACACTGTATACCCTAGATAGGCCTAAAGAACTTTTCTTAGTAGATGAAGAGTATTCTTTGTTATCAATAGAAGATTCTGAGGTACTGTCACGGTGTAAGTCGTCTTATCTACACCTACACGTATGTCCAGCTTACATGTTTGCATTTATTCCTGCTGCAGAGGGAATATGTGAATTGGCAGTCATACAACCAAATGTACGCACAGCGTTAGCGCAATGCAGTTATAGGCCAGTTAGTCTAAAGACTGTGTTCCACGCTCACCTTCACAATGTGCAGTATTTGTTCTTTCCAAATCTCACTACTGTAATTTTAAAATGCCAAAATGGTGTTAAGCAGCTAGTTGTGAAAGGGCATTACAAGGCTCCGGATTACTGTTAAATCACTTGTAGTACATTACGGACCTTGCCTACTCATCAGCATTTTGCGTTAAATCGAAAACTCAAGTCTGCTTTAATTCAACTTCCTGTAATGAATTTCACTATCAAGGATATTCAAATAGTATCAGAGAAATTAAAAGTTTTAGCCTTCTTGAATGAGACACATTTTGCTGATTTGGAAAATAAATTGCCATTTTACTTATCACGGGAATTTGCACTACCAAGTCTTACGATTCCCTCTATTCTGTTAATTCTGGCAATTATGTTCCTGTTCTGTTATTACCGGGCAGTATCATCCAAATTCAACATTGTTCATAACATACTAACCCGTAAGACACTAAAGTCTAGGTCCCCTGTATTAGAGAATACCCCTACAGTAATATCCCAAGCTTAGTGTCTACATATCTGTTTATAACATGGTTAGGGTTGTCTAGGATGTACTGTACTCTGCGAGTTATTTAGGCCGCACCGAGCTCGGCTGGTAGGTGACCGAGCGATGTAATAGGCCCCTGTCTCATCAACAGAACGTATTATATAAATGGGTCAATACATCTGATATTATATTCAGATTCACCACCCTGTAGCTTTCCACTGTCTATGAGTAAGACATGATATGGACACGTGAGCGGGCAACTCACCCAAGAGGGCGAGACCCATAGCTCAGCATTTCTGTAAGCACGTACTGCGATGCCCTTAAGCTTCAGTAGCTCACCTCAACTTATATCGTAAGGACGTGACCTAACGTTTATAATACATAAATGCCGTCCCCTTCTGATTCACTCCTAGACAGTGAGACTTACGGTTGATATACACTCAGGAATTATATATACAACCTTTTATAATAAAACAAAGGAACTACCGTTTGGGTTTCGTTACTTAAAACCCAAATATAAATATATGTGAACGGACTGGTTAATTGGACAAGCAGCCGATTCAGAATTATAACGTTCGAGTTTAACATGAAGAGTCTGATTAACCTTTAAACGCTCAGAAAGCGTTTACACTAATTATGATTATATTGTTAAGCTGACTCACCTTTGTGATGGTGACCTGAACACAAGAGTTATGTCTCCCTTATAGTGACCAACTGGTGTATGGTGCTGACTCACCCTTGTGATGGTGACCTGAACACAAGAGTTGTGTCTCCCTTATAGTGACCAACTGATGTATGGTGCTGACTCACCTTTGTGATGGTGACCTGAACAAGAGGAGTAACGTCAGGAGAGCACCAGGCCTCCGTCAGCAAGTTGAGGCCGTGGCTGGTGATGGTAAGTGGCGCCCCAGCTGCCACCAGGAGGCTGACGATCCTGGGCCGGTTACTGGTGGTGGCCAGGGAGAGGGGGTGCACGGACCAGTCACCCACAGGCTCCAGGGGCGCCCCTGAACACAGCAGATCACAGGCTGTCCTGAAGTCATCACCTTGGCTGATGACACTCAGCAGCTGCTTGTACAGCTTTTCTGGTGACTTAGGAACCTGGAAAACAACACTACTGTTATATTGGTCTTGCTGTACAGCTGTTCCTACACTCCGGGTGGCTATGCTATACAGCTGTTCCTACACTCCGGGTGGCTATGCTGTACAGCTGTTCATGCACTCCGGGGTGGCATTTCTGTACAGCTGTTCCTACACTCCAGGGTGGCACTGCGTACAGCTGTTCCTACACTCCAGTGTGGCAGTGCTGTACACCTGTTCCTACACCTCGGGGTGGCACTGCTGTACAGCTGTTCCTACACCTCGGGGTGGCACTGCTGTACAGCTGTTCCTACACTCCAGGGAGGACACTGTTGTACAAGGGCTGTACAAGTGCTGTACAGGTACTGTACAGCTGTTCCTATAAAAAAATACTGCAGGAAAAAACTACTGTATTGTCTTGTACAGGTGCTGTACAGGTGTTGTACTCGTACAGCTATTCCTAAGACCCAACTCTCCAGTAAGGACACTGTTGTACAGGTTTTGTATAGCTGTTGTACAGCTGTTACTAAGACGCAACACTTCAGTAAGGATACTGCTGTACAGGTGCTTTGCAGCCGCTATACAGTTGTTCCTATGAAACAACACTCCAGTAAAGACACCGATGTACAGGAGCTGTTCAGGTGTTGCACGCTTGTTGAACAAGTGCTCTGGGTGCTGTACAGTTGTTCCTATGACAAAACACTCCAGGGAGGACACCGCTGCGCAGGTGTTGCACAGGTGCTG